CTCAATTTCGTTATCCTCCAACTTGATATATATATATGTACAGTTGGATTTTACATGCTTGTAGGCTTTTAGCGGACTGTGGGCTTATTTAGATTTTAAGGTATGGGCTGCCTACTCAGCAAACCCTATTTTTGGGCCTAGCATGACACTCCAACTTGACCCACTCTACTTCAGAGATGCATGCAGTCCTAGGGTCATGAAATGGATGCTCACAACACAACAAAACAAATATAGGACAAAAAGAAAAGGGTTTTTGCCTCCGTGACCAAACACCTCGGAAGCTTTGCTCTTATTCCGGGTTAGGGTTAACTCTTTGGCAATCACAGATTCTCCTTGGCGCCAACTAAAACCTTGGAAATCAAGTCTCTCTCAGTACAAACTACAAACAGGTAAAAGCACCAAACTTTTTCACCATCTGGGTCAAACCTTTGAATATGAATCTTCTATATATCGCATACTGTTTTCTCCTCTGGGTTCTCGGAATCATGGACATTGTCAGAGAATAAATTCCTATTGCAATACAAATTTTGGGATTTTATGCTCAAGTACTGTGCTGCATTGATTTAAAAATGTGGAAGAAAAATTTAAGTTTTTAAGGTTGCAAAGCTAAAGAATTCAACTTTCAAGTTTTGCTCATGTTTTCTTCGTGGGTGTAATGAATTTGACAATTGGGTTGCAGATTTCAGCTTAATTTTGATCACATTTTTAATCGCTTGTTATTGTTCATGTTGTATGAGGTTCTCATACTAAGTAAGCATAAGCATTGCTGGTTGAAGTTGCACTGAATTTTGTTATAAGAAAACTGATTAAACTCTTCTCAGAGTTTCTGTTCATTAGAGGAGAGAAATGGGTTGCCAAACAGCTGCAACCAATGATCGTTCAAGGACATATTGGACACCAGCCATGGAACGCTACTTTATTGATCTTATGTTGGAGCAAATGCATAGAGGAACTAGGAGTGGCCATACTTTCAACAAGCAGGCCTGGACAGACATGCTCACTATGTTCAATGGAAAATTTGATTCTCATTATGATAAAGATGTTTTGAAAAGCCGGTATACAAGTTTGTGGAAGCAATTCAATGATGTGAAGAATATTCTTGGCCAGAGTGGGTTTTCTTGGGATGAAGCTTGTCAAATGGTGGTAGCAGATGATTACATATGGGATGCTTACATAAAGGTGCAATGCTTCCATACCTGTTCGTTGTTTGTAAAACAATTTATTCCATAACTGTGAAATGACATCAAGTGCATGTAGGTTCACCCGGATGCACGACTGTACAAAACTAAAGCAGTCTTGAATTTTAGTGATTTGTGCCTCATTTATGGGTATACAACTGCTGATGGAAGATACAGTCGATCAAGCCATGACTTAGACTTTGATGATGAAGTTCAAGGAGTAGCCATGGGTTTGTATCCTTTCCTTGTCATAAACATAAGACTAAGGTTTGCTTTGTTGTTGGACTGAATAATGATCAGTAGTTCAATTTTAGAGACTAGCGTTGGAAGGTTGGTGTTTGCTAGTGCAATGTTCTCATGCTTGATGAGCTGATCAGGAAGCATATATAACTCATTCTTTTGTGTTTTGAGAGGAAGTTATGGTACAATCTTCAAAATTGTGATAAATAGGTGATCTGCTTATTGTTAGTCATAAAATGAGCACAACAAGAATCAGTGGCCTGATAATCTGAATTTTGCCATCAATGATGGTTGACTTTCTAAAATTACTTATATTAGTACATAATTAAATCATATTCATTAGTATGAGATGACAAGTTAAACCTTTCTCAATATGTAGGTGATGGAATGGGCACCCTTGCTCCTTCAAGTAGTGAGCGTCCAAGGACGGATTGGTCAACAGCCATGGATCAATATTTCGTCGACCTTATGCTGGACCAAGTAGGAAGGGGCAATAAGACTGATAATACATTCAACAAAAAAGCCTGGACAGATATGCTTGCTAAATTTAATGAAGAATTTGGACCTCAACATGGCAAACGGGTTTTAAGACATCGATACAAGAAATTGTTGAAATACTACAGTGATGCAGCAACTTTACTAAGAAAAAATGATTTTTCCTGGGATGAAAAGCGGAATATGATTGTAGCTGATGATGATGTTTGGGATGCTTATACAAAGGTACACTCTCATGAACGTTTCATCTTTCATTCACTTTTTTTTGGTAATTTTTTCCTTCTCTCCATTACTTTTCCTTCCAATAACTGATTAATATAGGATTACTAGTACAGGCACACCCTCACGCACGGACATATAGAACAAAAACCTTGCCAAACTACTATGACATGTTCCTTATATTTGGAAGTGAACCTGATCTTGGCATCGACAATCATTTGCATCCACAGAAAGACGTTGATGACATATCAAAAGTCAAAGTTGGTGAGTTATAACTGCTTGCACAATATTCATAGAGATGTACAAGTCCCTGGAAAGAGAAATGGGAACCACATACTGTTGTTCATTTCTTTATAAATAAATATGTTACCCAATGACGTAAGAAAGTTGCTGGTCTTTCAGTTTCCTTATCACCAATAAAGAGGAGTTTTAGGGTTTATCAATCATGAAAAGTTTCTTCTTTGTTTCATTCTCTGTAGCTTATTTTAATGATAAATGAGAATTACCCAGTTATAGACGAGAAGAGTCGTATATTTTTTCACATGAAATGTCTCTACTTCTTTTTCTTTTTTCTTTCTTTTTTCTTTGTGGTGCTTAAATCTTCTCAAGAGTGAAGGGGTTACTCTAACTTGATATTTAATTTTGTAGGGGAAGGAAAGGGGGGACAGACCCCAACTGTCAGTGATCGTACAAGGACATATTGGACACCACCAATGGACCGTTATCTCATTGATTTGTTACTAGACCAGGTGCATAGAGGAAATAAACTAGGGCAAACATTCATTACTCGGGCGTGGATTGACATGGTTACATCTTTCAATGCTCAATTCAGATCTCACCATGACAAAGATGTTCTGAAGAACCGGTACAAACATTTGCGAAGGCAGTACAATGACATCAAGAATCTTCTTGAACACGGCGGGTTTTTGTGGGATGAATCACGAGAAATGATAACGGCTGAAGATAATGTTTGGGATGGTTATGTGAAGGTAAACTTCTCCTTGATTAACTCAAAATTTTATCAGCTTCCCTTATACTGACATATAATGCATGCAGAACCATCCTGATGCTCGACAATATAGAGTTAAAACTGTGCCAGGCTACAACAAATTGTGTGTTATCTTTGGAGAAGAAAATTCCGATGGAAGATACAGTCGTTTGGCATGCAATTCAGATCCTTGTGGTGAACTACCATTTTTAATGACCGGTATGCTATTGTTACCTTTTCATATTAGTCTGATTTTACAGTAATGTACATTCCAAATTCAAAAAACAAATAAAATTTCATTCATTTGTTGAACATGAATTGCTTTGCATGTACCACCAACAGAGAAGTATGATAGATTTGATGCTACACCTGTTTACTCTTATTTGTAATTGTTTCTTTCATAATGATATGGATGAAATGTTTAATGCCCTTTATGGGTCTAAAGTAGATATTAGGTCGTCGTACGAAATGCAGTGCCAGGGTAGCTTTTGTCTCATGTGCTCTTAAAATGACTTGAATGCCATGTCTAGAAGTGTACTTATTGCTTAGTGTTAGACTTGATGTTTTGTATCCTCGTGTTTTTTTTTATAAATAAAATAAAATAACATTTGTAGGTGAGGAGAAGAATGACCAGACTCACACTGGGGTTGTTCCTCTGAGGATGGATTGGACACCAGCAATGGACCGTTATTTTATTGATCTTATGTTGGATCAGCTACATCAAGGAAATAAGATAGATCACACATTCAATGAGCAAGCATGGGCCCACATGCTTGAATCATTTAATATGAAATTTGGACTTCAATGTGATAAATATGTCCTAGAAGATCGATATTTATGCTTGGTGAAACAGCATGACTACATCAGCATTCTTCTCAATCACAGTGGATTTATGTGGGATGAAAGTCAACAAATGATAACCGCTGACAATGACACTTGGGAAGCCTACATCAAGGTGCGTTCTGGTTGTTCATATCTCGAAAACTTGTTTATCTGTAGTTTCCAGTTGTTTATGTAAGATCTGTTTGCAGGAACACCCAGATGCTATCCAATACAGAAATGCATTTTTAGGTAGCTATAGTGATTTGAGCAAGATTTTTATAAATACAGAATTAGATGGAAAATTCAGTGATCAGGGTGTGGGAATGGAAGCTGGCCTCATTGCCTTGGAAATAGAGATGGATAGTGCATCCGGAGATCTAAAATTATTAGCCGAGGACATTGAAATGTCTGATCAACAGAGAAAGCGGCCAACTGTGATGCCATCGAACTCGGGACGTTCTACAAAAGCACAGAAAACAGGCAAGGATATGCAAAAGGCTCTTGCAGAGATGGCAGGTCTGGTTACAAAACTGGCAAATAATAAAGAGGACAGTAACTACAAATCAATAGAAAGTGCAATCGATGCACTTCAAGCTATACCAGATATGGATGATGAGCTTATGTTGGATGCTTGTGACCTTTTAGAAGATGAGAGAAAGGCAAAGACATTCTTGGCCTTGGATGTGGCACTGCGCAAGAAGTGGTTATTAAGGAAGCTCCGGCCCCTAAAGTAGCCGTTATGGTTTCAGTGACATTGTCTCACATTTTGGTCAGGTTCCCTCTTTATTTGACTTGTTTTCTTTTTTTCTTCTTTTTCACATTTGGCCCCCTCCCTTCAGTAGATTTTGAGTCTTCTGCAATGTAAAGAGAGTGATTATATATAAGTAGGGTTCTAGTCTTTTGCAATGTAAAATGACTAAATTTCTTGTCTTTCAAAGCCTTGAGAAAGCATGCCAGCAACTTGTTCCTCTGTTCATTCTATTAAAATAGAAAGCCTATGCAATAAAACTTAGGCGCAATGTGAGGCATCACAATGGTGGAAGCGAGACTCAAATAAGGTAGCAGAAGAAACCGTAACAGAGCCTAGTAAATAGAAATAAATATGAGATTTTGCTTGTACACTTGAATCAAAAAAGTCAGTGCGTCCCATCAAATACAAAGTACATGTAATTGCCAAACGCATACAGAAGATCAGGTGAGAAATGAACTTCAAAAAACAAAGGGAAGATTCTGATGGCTTCATTTCTCATCCCCTGGTAGATTACAAAACCAGTACCAAAATGTGGCATTAGAAAAGCAAAGAAATACCTACCCTCCTTGGTCATCTCAACACAACTGAGATATATGATACCTTAACTTAAAGTGATTATAAGGTAATTGCCAAACAAATATTGGTTACCGAGAACTAGATTTCCTCTTACAGGATGTCACTAATACTAGAAACGATGGCACGGCTTTTCACAAAGTAACCATAGAATTCTTTCTTCTTCCAAAGCAGACTCCAGCTTAACTCCATCTTGGCATGGACATCAACTTCATCTAAAAACACCCACCTCAATTTCTGAACGACCCAAGAGGTTCAATTTTGGAAAATTACCCACTAGATTCCCAACTCTTTTCCAAGGAAGTCGACTAGGAGTCACTTCATTCGTCTCCTCCTATCCCTGTCTCTTTCTCTGCCTCTATCTCTCTCATGGTCATCCCCCTCTCTACTTCCACTCTTCTCACGGTCCCGAACCCTATCACCTTCAAAATCATGGGCTCTATCTCTGTCACTACCACGCTGTCTTTCCCGGTCTCTGTCCAAATCATGTTCCCTCTCCCGATCTCTGTTTGACGATCTCTGTAGCGGACTATCACTTTGGCTTCCACTGCGGTGCCGCTTTCTTGAAGTATCACGGGTATCATCATCCCGTCTGTCCTTCCTCTCTGAAGAATCCAAACGGGGCAAATTATAAGATACACAACAAGGATTATAAAATTAATAAATAAATAAAAACAAAACAAGTACTTCCGACAAATACCGCAACCTCAACAGAACGTTGTCCCTAGACTAATGTTGTAGGGTGAGGATAAACTTGATTAATGTTGTATTAAACAGGTCTATCAGTTACTGATTTCATTTCATAAATTACAAAAATCTTCCATTTATCAGTCTTCATATGCGTAACAGAGCAGCTACTTTTGTCTTTTTTTCAGAAAAAGAAACAGAAAAGAGAGAGATAGAGAGAGAGAGTGCCCACGAAAAATCACTATAAGCTTATTACTAATACTTTTGTTAACACCTGAAACAGTCTGAACCACAAGTAAAGGTGTGTATATTAACTAAAGGAGATGGGGAAACCTCAGCAAGATATAACCCGATAAACCAAGAGTCAACAAGAAACATACATAAAAGTAAACAGATATCACATGATTCCTCACATATAATATTCTGTATTCTTAAGATGAACACTTACTACTCCCACAAGCATCTTCGCTGGAATCTGATATTCCATACTCTGATTCCAGCCGTTTCCGATGGATTGCAACCTTCCTCTCAATTTCTTCAGGGTTTTTTATTCCCCGCTCCTCGAGAGATTCACGATATTCTATCAAAGCAACTTCCAAACGTCTCAACTTTTGCCTACAGTAACAGTCAAGAAAAACATAAGCACAATTTCACAAGGTCCTAAAAGCAGCTTTTCCTAACAAATGAAACTAGACAGAATGTCAATGTAGAATTAAGATACAACCTCTGCTCCTCACTTATTCCACTGTCAGGTTGTGCTGGAATGCTTGCATCAGTTGCAACCTCCATCTCATCAGCCTTACTGGGACCATCACCAGCATTTTCACTTCCAGAAGATGAGTAGCTTAACCCGAGATCCCTCGCACTACGCTTTTGTTCATCATCACTATCGTCATCCTCTCGCGCCCATTTAGAGGCTGGTAGAACAGGATCATTCTTTTCTTTCTTTGTTAAAGCTTTTAGTTCAGGCTGCGGAATTGGAAGGGTTTGGACCAAGGTTAGGGACCCTTTCCCTTGAGCAGATATTCCCACGGAGTCTGGTTCAATATTCATTTCTCTGCGGCTACTTGAATATCTAGCTGAACTTGAATGGCTCTGTGCATATTTCAAGTCATCATCTAGTTCATAACCCCTTTGTTTTTCAGCCTCTTCCAGACTAAGCAATCGTGCAACCATAGTTTCTCGACCACCAACAAGAGATAATCCATTATGTCTGCAGCGTCTTTCCAACTCAGCTAGGGGAAGACTCAATAACTCCCTCATAGCTGCTCCTTTGCCCATTGCCAAAGCAGCATCTTGATTGGTTTTACAAGCATCACCTGTATCTTCAGAGGTGGTCTTTTTGTCTATTTCAGGTGCATCACCACATATGGAGTGAAAAGGGACCACACCAGAGTTACCAGACCGAAGAAAAGTAGCCCGTAATCCATTCACATAAGCGTCTGAAAAAAGAAACCAGTCTGACCATACTTGCAATACTTTAAGAACTCTTTCCTGCAGAATTTCAAGTAAAGATTAATTGGCGTCAGAGAAAGAAAAATTTATATTGTCTGTAACTACAGCAGGATGAAATTGCCATGTACATCTTACCTTAAGGGCCTCAGCGGTGATCCTTCCTGTTATGCTACGATACAAATCATTAAAGCTCTCCATTATGTCTGGTAATGTTGCTTCAAATCTGGTGCGATATGCAGATGCATTCTTTACTGGAGCACTGCTATTGTGAAGCACATCAGAGACAAGCATGAGTCTTGCTACTTTGGTTGGGATCGGGGTCTCCTTGAGAGTTAAAGATTCTGTAAGAACTTCAACTATCTGCAACAGAAAACAGACTGAGAAATATTGTACACACAGAACTAGTCTTTCTATCTTCCTTTTCTTTTCTATTGATACTCTCCACTGATTAATAGATATCTGCTTATATATGTAACATTGAATAACAAACTGATAAGTGACTATTATCCGCATTTACCTCCCCAGCTGCATCAGCATTGTCCAATGCAAACCCCATAGCATCCTTTATCTGACTCCTCTCTAACGTTAATGCACGTAACATATCCTCAAACTCATCCCTCTGCGAATCTGTAAGTGTTCGTTCTGGCTCTACACGCTACAATATTAATGAAAAGAAAGTTACACCACGAGAAAATATAGGAATTAAATCTATCCTGCTTGTGCGTGTGAAAATTACCCTGCTTCTTCCTGCAGCATATGTGGTACCAGCCTCTTTCCCATGTTCTGGGCTCTTTACTGTGGGAAGAGGTGGTGGAATCCATCTGGAAATAAAATAAAATATCGTTGGATCAGTATTATGGTCCAAGGCACCATCTCACTACTCAAACCTATCGAGCTTTCACAATAAATGTCATAGAAAGAGAAAAAAGTAGGTTGCATTTACCTTCCACTACCAGTAATCATAATGAAAGGTTCTGTTCGCCACCTTTGTAGTGTATCACCCTGCATTTATGTCATATATATTTTTAATACTAGGAAACTTTAAAAAGTAATAGTTAAGGTCACTCAACAACCAATGATACACAAGCTTCAGAACAAAAATCATGTCCTTTTACCAAGAAATAGGAATTATTTACACAACTGCCTAAGAAAATTATGCATGCGCGCACACATAACAAAAGGTTACCTGAGCAAATGAATAGAGCCTCCAAACATAGTAAGTGTGCTCTTTCGAGCCAAGCTCAAACAAGAACGTGAAAAGAGGATTCCCTCTGCCTCTCTCCATAATAGCTTGTTCAAAGGCACATCCACCATCCAGTACATACAAAGCCATTGTATCAACCACATGGCGGAGGTGATCATCCTCGGGTGGAACAACCGTTATATCAGGAACATTTGGAGTAAGAACCTATTCACCATAAACACATACAAAGATTGGTAAGATTGCACTATTGGGGAAAAAAAACTAGAGACTATAAAAGAACTAGATATATTACCAGTTCAGAATTCTGACTGGGAACAGAAGTGACAGGCGGGCCTGATGGGCCAGACAAGATTACAGTTGCTCCCTGTCAACAAAAGAAAATGTTGTTAGTTTCAACAATGCAATGTGAACTCTTTAAGTGATGCTGAGAATGTCAAATCCTTACGGCGCAAATAATTAGCTAGAAAGCATCAAATTCACGAAAAGTGAACTTCAACATGCAAACAATCTACAACTACAAATTAATTCCAAATAAATTATGGTGAAAATGAAACAAACCTCCTTACTCCTGATGGCCATATGTCCTGGAGGGGGAGCAGGTAGTGCTTGTGATGGTAGAGCGACAGACTTGCCCCACCCAATCTTCAACTCATATTCATAAACCACCACTCCTGCACACAAAAAATTCATGTTCATTCATTTCCTATCCATGCATTCCCCAATACATAAAAGTTAACAAGGCAAGGCATAACATCGGCATATAATGTTAATTTTATGTGAATTATTAGGTGACATTACTACCGAGCAACATGATTTCAAATTGGGGAGATAACTCTATCTGCACATAGAAAACAACTCATGCACATTGCAAACATCTGCCAAGAGAAATCCATCAATTCTACGGTGACTGGAAATAACCAAACCTTGCATTTCATCCTTCGCGGCCTGTCCATCAGCTCTATTCATGAAAGCTACAAAGCCACAATTTCTTTGACGCCTTCGCTCCTCTTCTGTCCTAGGCCACATTATTTTCACACTGGCAATTGGCCCAAACCTCCCAAAAGTTCGCAAAAGAAAATTTTCGTCAACCTAGAGATATCAAGAACATAATAATTTAGATTGGCAAGTTCTTTGTATACACAAGAGAACACCAAGTCAAAAACCCAAAAAAAAATATAGGACCAAACCTTTGGTGAAAGATTTCCAACATAAAGATTAGTAGTTTGTGGATCACCATCATCAAATGATCCAAGAAGCTTTCCACTTGGATCAAATTCATCAGGGAGTTCATCAAAGCGACTGGATGGCTGAAAAAGAACGGCATAGTGAGTATATTTTATAATATTTGATATATATTTTTAAAAAAACCTAGAACACACTGCAAAATAAAACATCTATATGAAATATAGAAATAATACAGATATAATATAACAGGAATCAGAAATTCTTCTAGGAGACACAGCTAAATAATAAGAACACTAAACACAAATGAAATGTGCATCCGCAATACCAAAGTGTATTTTCATGTGCTCATTAAACCTAAAACCTTTTCGTACGACCTTGCTCAAAAGCTACACCCGAAAAGAAAAAAAACACCACACATTCAGACCTGCTCATTTAAGCAACTCAGTTACTCATAACAACCTATACTAAAACGAAAAGATATCATCCAAATCATCTTTCGTAGAAAATTGAAAACCAGATTCATTAAGGGAAACACATACTGCAGAATTCTCAATTGGTCGCCCATCACGCCAATGTTCACGCTCTTGATTTCGCTTATCCCTCATCTCGTAATCCTGCTTCCTCTCCTCCATATATTTATCTATTTCTCGAGGCTTCAATTTTTCTTTCTCCCTCGGCTTCTCCTCCTCCCTCTGCAATGGCTAATTGACAATGTCAGGAATCAATATGCTAGGAAATTCACTTTGAAAAACTACAAACGAAAACCATTACTACCATCAGGATACTGACCTTCTTCTCAGATTCTTTCCCTTTGGATGGCAAAGAAGGTGTTGGTAAGTATGGAACATACCTGCAGAAGATAATTTAATGACAAACTTGCTTGTTACCGAAGCTCTTTTCCTGGAAAATGATTAAATAAAATTGGAAAGAGAAGGGGGGGGGTAGACACATTAATCCTATATCAACTATTCGACTATAGCTTATTTCTGCCTAAGCCCTTGCAAACCGCTACCTTGTAGGGCCTGTTTGGTTCCTTCATTTGAAAATACTTTTGCAATAAAATCACGAAAGGCAAAATACAGTGAAAACATGTAGCCAAGTGACTTTCAGAACAATTTTTAGGAAGCATCGGCTTTAGTTCATAAATTATAAAACTAAACTATGGAAAACATCAAAAAGCTACTGCTTTCCACTACTTCTATAGAAAATTATTTAAAATCTCATCCAAACAGGCACAAGATTTCCATTGTTTCCACAACATAATGTAGTAATTCCAGGTGAACACTAGATTTTCTCACTTCAAATGAAGTATAAACCGCTTTGAAGCCTAATTTTTGGTATTGCTATTGATCCAGACACATTAAACCTGCAGCTCATGAATCGCAAGCAGCTATGTGACTACAGACTAGGTCACTGAATGAGTTTATATAACATTGAGAATACAGACAATGTAGACTTAAACAGTAAAAGTTTCCACTAGACGGAACAGTACTCTAACTTTGACACCAATACAGGGTAACATAACTGACAACATTTCATATCAAGCATTTGTGTGAGTTCCATTCCAGCTTCAGAACTACCACTTCATGACAGTACCATCTAGTTTATCAAGGCCCACGCCAGTGGCCGAACTTCAATTTGCTGATTATTGTGCTCTACACTCCATGCATTAAGATATATTTCACCCAATGCAGATAATCATTGGCTTCATATGTCTCAAGCACACATTGAAGCAACTCAAAAACTGCCTAAATATAAAAATGCAAAGTAGATATATACAAACTAGAAGTATATGCTTACTTAAGATATTCAAGAAACCTAGATATTGTCATCACATTCAATAAACTATGTATGAATAACAGCAAGCTCACAATACATCTTTACAAATAGAAAAGGAGTCAAAAGAAAAAATAAGTGAACAGTAAGCTTGTTTCATCTCAAATCTATAGTTGAATACTTGATTATCATTTCTTTCCAAGATTGGAAACAGAATAGCATCATCGTTTGTTCGAGACAAAACTTGACTATTTTGATGCCATCAAGTAGAAGAATAAAATCAGAACCCACTTATCATTTTCCATTTTTCTAGTTTACACAATTACAAACCTCAAAATACAAAATCCATCTGACGATATCAAATCATCACCATAAAAACTCTCCTAGTTATGATGCCTTGTCAAGAGTATTGCAACATGGTTAATCAAAAGCATTTCTTTACCTACTCCCCTTCTTTGGAACAGATACCCCATCTTTGGACTTTTCACCTGCCATCCGCGAATGAATAAAAAGGTCCATGTTTTTATTAAAGTGTCCCGATAATAATAGAAAGCTATTTTACTTATCCATAGGGTGAAATGACATAATAGGAAAACAAAGCACTAAGACTGAAACTACCAGAACTTTAACAAAAAAGCAGTATTGAGATCTTCAGTTATACTAACCTTCAGCATCCGCCTTCACCTTCTCATTGGGATTGATTGTTCCTCCTCGCACAAAAGCCTTCGACCCAGGTGCGTTATCCCCTTGAAAGGAATCTACAAACTCCTTATATAAGCGAGCTGTTTCCTCCTCCGCTCTCTAAAAGGGAAAAGATAAAAGAATAAAACACTGATTTGTCAGTAAAAATCTCACTTTTGCAGAAGCCAACCAGTTAATCAATGGCGGCACCTTTTTCTTTGCCTCTTCCTCCTCTCTGTGCTTTTGGAAGGGAGTCTTCTTCCGCGTGATGGAGAACGAACTCATATTGCATCAGCTTCTGAAAATCAGTTCAACAAAATGCCTCAAAATTATAACCTTTGCTTAATGCACAAAGAATATTCATCAAGATTCAATACTTTAACGCCAATTCATAATTTATTTAAACCCAAATTTGCATCTGAAATAAAAATCCATACTATGTAAAGCCTAGGACTTTTAAAATTCCAAATTCCTTTAGCTCAATCGTCAGAATCAAATCAGCTTACCGATAGTCGGGCAGGGTTGAAAAGCCTTTAACCCTGCAAAGCCCTAACCCTACCAGTCCGATTCCGATTCCGCCTCTCTTCTGCAAAGACCAAAACCGTGGAGGACGACGACTATGAAACGCAGGTCGTGTACGATCAGAACTTCAGAAGAGGCTCCGCAGCCCTAGTCGTAAACTTGGAGTTCGACCGCTATATCGATTTCTGAGTACCGACTTACTGTAAAACCAACACTATTTGCCTATTGGAGATATATAAAATTCGGTTGTACGATATATCCTTGTACATATTATTTTGTCATTAGAATTTAGATATACAAGTTTGTATTAAATACAAAAAGATGTTACGTAGGCCTAGTTTGGGATTGCTGTCACTTTAAAAAAAAGGTTGTTTATATCCTCAAACTCATCCCTCTGCGAATCTGTAAGTGTTCGTTCTGGCTCTACACGCTACAATATTAATGAAAAGAAAGTTACACCACGAGAAAATATAGGAATTAAATCTATCCTGCTTGTGCGTGTGAAAATTACCCTGCTTCTTCCTGCAGCATATGTGGTACCAGCCTCTTTCCCATGTTCTGGGCTCTTTACTGTGGGAAGAGGTGGTGGAATCCATCTGGAAATAAAATAAAATATCGTTGGATCAGTATTATGGTCCAAGGCACCATCTCACTACTCAAACCTATCGAGCTTTCACAATAAATGTCATAGAAAGAGAAAAAAGTAGGTTGCATTTACCTTCCACTACCAGTAATCATAATGAAAGGTTCTGTTCGCCACCTTTGTAGTGTATCACCCTGCATTTATGTCATATATATTTTTAATACTAGGAAACTTTAAAAAGTAATAGTTAAGGTCACTCAACAACCAATGATACACAAGCTTCAGAACAAAAATCATGTCCTTTTACCAAGAAATAGGAATTATTTACACAACTGCCTAAGAAAATTATGCATGCGCGCACACATAACAAAAGGTTACCTGAGCAAATGAATAGAGCCTCCAAACATAGTAAGTGTGCTCTTTCGAGCCAAGCTCAAACAAGAACGTGAAAAGAGGATTCCCTCTGCCTCTCTCCATAATAGCTTGTTCAAAGGCACATCCACCATCCAGTACATACAAAGCCATTGTATCAACCACATGGCGGAGGTGATCATCCTCGGGTGGAACAACCGTTATATCAGGAACATTTGGAGTAAGAACCTATTCACCATAAACACATACAAAGATTGGTAAGATTGCACTATTGGGGAAAAAAAACTAGAGACTATAAAAGAACTAGATATATTACCAGTTCAGAATTCTGACTGGGAACAGAAGTGACAGGCGGGCCTGATGGGCCAGACAAGATTACAGTTGCTCCCTGTCAACAAAAGAAAATGTTGTTAGTTTCAACAATGCAATGTGAACTCTTTAAGTGATGCTGAGAATGTCAAATCCTTACGGCGCAAATAATTAGCTAGAAAGCATCAAATTCACGAAAAGTGAACTTCAACATGCAAACAATCTACAACTACAAATTAATTCCAAATAAATTATGGTGAAAATGAAACAAACCTCCTTACTCCTGATGGCCATATGTCCTGGAGGGGGAGCAGGTAGTGCTTGTGATGGTAGAGCGACAGACTTGCCCCACCCAATCTTCAACTCATATTCATAAACCACCACTCCTGCACACAAAAAATTCATGTTCATTCATTTCCTATCCATGCATTCCCCAATACATAAAAGTTAACAAGGCAAGGCATAACATCGGCATATAATGTTAATTTTATGTGAATTATTAGGTGACATTACTACCGAGCAACATGATTTCAAATTGGGGAGATAACTCTATCTGCACATAGAAAACAACTCATGCACATTGCAAACATCTGCCAAGAGAAATCCATCAATTCTACGGTGACTGGAAATAACCAAACCTTGCATTTCATCCTTCGCGGCCTGTCCATCAGCTCTATTCATGAAAGCTACAAAGCCACAATTTCTTTGACGCCTTCGCTCCTCTTCTGTCCTAGGCCACATTATTTTCACACTGGCAATTGGCCCAAACCTCCCAAAAGTTCGCAAAAGAAAATTTTCGTCAACCTAGAGATATCAAGAACATAATAATTTAGATTGGCAAGTTCTTTGTATACACAAGAGAACACCAAGTCAAAAACCCAAAAAAAAATATAGGACCAAACCTTTGGTGAAAGATTTCCAACATAAAGATTAGTAGTTTGTGGATCACCATCATCAAATGATCCAAGAAGCTTTCCACTTGGATCAAATTCATCAGGGAGTTCATCAAAGCGACTGGATGGCTGAAAAAGAACGGCATAGTGAGTATATTTTATAATATTTGATATATATTTTTAAAAAAACCTAGAACACACTGCAAAATAAAACATCTATATGAAATATAGAAATAATACAGATATAATATAACAGGAATCAGAAATTCTTCTAGGAGACACAGCTAAATAATAAGAACACTAAACACAAATGAAATGTGCATCCGCAATACCAAAGTGTATTTTCATGTGCTCATTAAACCTAAAACCTTTTCGTACGACCTTGCTCAAAAGCTACACCCGAAAAGAAAAAAAACACCACACATTCAGACCTGCTCATTTAAGCAACTCAGTTACTCATAACAACCTATACTAAAACGAAAAGATATCATCCAAATCATCTTTCGTAGAAAATTGAAAACCAGATTCATTAAGGGAAACACATACTGCAGAATTCTCAATTGGTCGCCCATCACGCCAATGTTCACGCTCTTGATTTCGCTTATCCCTCATCTCGTAATCCTGCTTCCTCTCCTCCATATATTTATCTATTTCTCGAGGCTTCAATTTTTCTTTCTCCCTCGGCTTCTCCTCCTCCCTCTGCAATGGCTAATTGACAATGTCAGGAATCAATATGCTAGGAAATTCACTTTGAAAAACTACAAACGAAAACCATTACTACCATCAGGATACTGACCTTCTTCTCAGATTCTTTCCCTTTGGATGGCAAAGAAGGTGTTGGTAAGTATGGAACATACCTGCAGAAGATAATTTAATGACAAACTTGCTTGTTACCGAAGCTCTTTTCCTGGAAAATGATTAAATAAAATTGGAAAGAGAAGGGGGGGGTAGACACATTAATCCTATATCAACTATTCGACTATAGCTTATTTCTGCCTAAGCCCTTGCAAACCGCTACCTTGTAGGGCCTGTTTGGTTCCTTCATTTGAAAATACTTTTGCAATAAAATCACGAAAGGCAAAATACAGTGAAAACATGTAGCCAAGTGACTTTCAGAACAATTTTTAGGAAGCATCGGCTTTAGTTCATAAATTATAAAACTAAACTATGGAAAACATCAAAAAGCTACTGCTTTCCACTACTTCTATAGAAAATTATTTAAAATCTCATCCAAACAGGCACAAGATTTCCATTGTTTCCACAACATAATGTAGTAATTCCAGGTGAACACTAGATTTTCTCACTTCAAATGAAGTATAAACCGCTTTGAAGCCTAATTTTTGGTATTGCTATTGATCCAGACACATTAAACCTGCAGCTCATGAATCGCAAGCAGCTATGTGACTACAGACTAGGTCACTGAATGAGTTTATATAACATTGAGAATACAGACAATGTAGACTTAAACAGTAAAAGTTTCCACTAGACGGAACAGTACTCTAACTTTGACACCAATACAGGGTAACATAACTGACAACATTTCATATCAAGCATTTGTGTGAGTTCCATTCCAGCTTCAGAACTACCACTTCATGACAGTACCATCTAGTTTATCAAGGCCCACGCCAGTGGCCGAACTTCAATTTGCTGATTATTGTGCTCTACACTCCATGCATTAAGATATATTTCACCCAATGCAGATAATCATTGGCTTCATATGTCTCAAGCACACATTGAAGCAACTCAAAAACTGCCTAAATATAAAAATGCAAAGTAGATATATACAAACTAGAAGTATATGCTTACTTAAGATATTCAAGAAACCTAGATATTGTCATCACATTCAATAAACTATGTATGAATAACAGCAAGCTCACAATACATCTTTACAAATAGAAAAGGAGTCAAAAGAAAAAATAAGTGAACAGTAAGCTTGTTTCATCTCAAATCTATAGTTGAATACTTGATTATCATTTCTTTCCAAGATTGGAAACAGAATAGCATCATCGTTTGTTCGAGACAAAACTTGACTATTTTGATGCCATCAAGTAGAAGAATAAAATCAGAACCCACTTATCATTTTCCATTTTTCTAGTTTACACAATTACAAACCTCAAAATACAAAATCCATCTGACGATATCAAATCATCACCATAAAAACTCTCCTAGTTATGATGCCTTGTCAAGAGTATTGCAACATGGTTAATCAAAAGCATTTCTTTACCTACTCCCCTTCTTTGGAACAGATACCCCATCTTTGGACTTTTCACCTGCCATCCGCGAATGAATAAAAAGGTCCATGTTTTTATTAAAGTGTCCCGATAATAATAGAAAGCTATTTTACTTATCCATAGGGTGAAATGACATAATAGGAAAACAAAGCACTAAGACTGAAACTACCAGAACTTTAACAAAAAAGCAGTATTGAGATCTTCAGTTATACTAACCTTCAGCATCCGCCTTCACCTTCTCATTGGGATTGATTGTTCCTCCTCGCACAAAAGCCTTCGACCCAGGTGCGTTATCCCCTTGAAAGGAATCTACAAACTCCTTATATAAGCGAGCTGTTTCCTCCTCCGCTCTCTAAAAGGGAAAAGATAAAAGAATAAAACACTGATTTGTCAGTAAAAATCTCACTTTTGCAGAAGCCAACCAGTTAATCAATGGCGGCACCTTTTTCTTTGCCTCTTCCTCCTCTCTGTGCTTTTGGAAGGGAGTCTTCTTCCGCGTGATGGAGAACGAACTCATATTGCATCAGCTTCTGAAAATCAGTTCAACAAAATGCCTCAAAATTATAACCTTTGCTTAATGCACAAAGAATATTCATCAAGATTCAATACTTTAACGCCAATTCATAATTTATTTAAACCCAAATTTGCATCTGAAATAAAAATCCATACTATGTAAAGCCTAGGACTTTTAAAATTCCAAATTCCTTTAGCTCAATCGTCAGAATCAAATCAGCTTACCGATAGTCGGGCAGGGTTGAAAAGCCTTTAACCCTGCAAAGCCCTAACCCTACCAGTCCGATTCCGATTCCGCCTCTCTTCTGCAAAGACCAAAACCGTGGAGGACGACGACTATGAAACGCAGGTCGTGTACGATCAGAACTTCAGAAGAGGCTCCGCAGCCCTAGTCGTAAACTTGGAGTTCGACCGCTATATCGATTTCTGAGTACCGACTTACTGTAAAACCAACACTATTTGCCTATTGGAGATATATAAAATTCGGTTGTACGATATATCCTTGTACATATTATTTTGTCATTAGAATTTAGATATACAAGTTTGTATTAAATACAAAAAGATGTTACGTAGGCCTAGTTTGGGATTGCTGTCACTTTAAAAAAAAGGTTGTTTATACTGTGCTTTAAAAATAATTAGCTGTAAAGTAAAGCAGCTTCATGTTTGGTAAACACTATTTTTAAAGTGTTGTTAGTACAAAAAACAGTGTTAAAACATTTTGGTAAATTTTAATATAAAATTGTTGTAACTGTGAATAATGACTCAAATAGACATGACGTTAAAAGTGTTATACACTAATTATATGGTGGTAGTGGTAGTGATGGAGTGGAGTTAGTGGTGGAGATGAAGGCGGAGTTGGTGGTTATGGTAGTTGTGGTGGTGGGGATGGCGGTTGTGGAGGTGGAGGTGGAGGTGGTGGTGGTGGTGGTGGTGGTGGTGGTGATGGCAGAGGATGACGAGGAGAAGGAGGTGGTGGTGGTGGTGGTGACGGTGGCGGTGGTTGTGGAGGTAGTGAATGTGGTGGTGTAAGTGGTGGAGTTGGATGTGGTGTCATTTTTTAAAATGAATGATGATATTTTGGGAATTAAAAAAATTCATTAAACGTTCATCTCTGCTTCTTTTGAAAGCAGCTTTGAAAAGCAACCCAAAGTCTGCTTTTAAAAGTTGCTATCAAAAGGCCACTGCTTTTAAAATAATCATGATATTTTATTTTTACCAAACACCTTAAACTGCTTAACTTTAAAGTTAAGCAAGTTTTTGGCCAAAAAAACAATCCCAAATGAGGCCTTAAATCTTTAATGTGAAAGGGATAAAAAAAAGTTACTATTTTTTGAGGTAAAGTTTTATTATAAAATCGCTTAAAATTATGCAAGTTTTACATGGATGGATACTTTAGCAAATGTTGGTTAGGCCAGTTGGTCAGGCGTGTGCATCCCTTTGCACTCAAATTCGAACCCATCTTCGTATATTAAGTTAGTTTATAATATCGTCACACTGGAAAGTCGAGCCGAGCCCAAAAATATATATTGATTTAACCTTTTTATAAGTAAAAATAATAATACTAGAACAATAAATAATTCATGCTTTTATTTTATCAAGTGTTAATAAATTATTTGGTTTTACCTTATTTGTAAGTATTTTCATCCATTTGTCATAGCAAAAGGTAAAGAGAGGCAATGGCTATTACTATTCACATAAATAGTGTATGCACTAGCAATTTTTTTGTTGGTTTCCACCCATTGGCATAGCAACCCAAGGGCAACCACTATTTACATGAGATATGAGGAGAGGAATTTGTATAAATTTTTTGTGTAAAAAGTAAAAAATATGGCTCGGTATTTATAAATAAAAAAATCTTAAATTTTTTATTTTTTTCCCTCTTTTATTCAATTTGTTTGTTATTTAAATTGGTTGATAACGTCACAATAACATCAACATTAAAGTGATCTTACCCAGGCAGCAGCCTAGGCAAATCTTGCATTGGGCCTTGCCCAGGTTGGTGGAGCCCAACATTTGCCCTGTCAAGCCTTGGCCCCTGGAAACGAAATTAGGGGCTAGGGGGCCTCTTGTCCCGGCTAGCCCCTCCTACTGAAGTTGCTCTAAAGGTAACTAATTTGCTGGGTACCAATAATATATTTAGACAAAGAAAATCTATATATATAAAGCAAAAGACAGATAATAGTAAAACATTCAAAATACCAGAAAATGCCCTTAATTAATTCAAACATTAAGAATTAAAATTAATTAAATATGGATAATATGGTAAATTCATATTTTTATATTAAAAAATTAAAATTAAAATTAAAAAGTAAAATTAGATAATAGATCCTTCCTTTACGGAACACTAGCCCCCCTGGCACAAACGTGAGCATGTGCCATTTGGTTTTATTTTTTCTTTTTTATTTTATTTTTAGTGATAACATGGATAGTTATTTATATATATATAACAAAAAGCAGAGAATGGTGAAACATTCAAAATACCAGAAAATGCACTTAGTTAATTCAAATATTAAGAAATTAAATTATTAATTAAATTAGGATAATATGGTAAATTCATATTTTTTCATATTTAAAAAAATTAAAATTAAAAATAAAATCAGATAATAGGTCATAATTTTATAGAACATAACTACTCATATATGAGCTAGAGTCATTACATGGTATAGAGTTTCTTTATACTCACCATCAGACTTCATTATGTTTGTTTAAGAAAAAAAAATTCTTATTCTTATTACACATGAATATAATGCCATATTTTTTTTTATTTGTTTGTTAATTTAATTTTAAGTATAATCTTAATTATTATGATGAGTTTATATTATATAAAAGATCAGGGCCCGAAATTCCTTGATCCTCATCATGTAACTAGATTAGGACATAGATTTCTTTTAATTGAATCAGAACCTGAAGTTCTTTGATTCAAACTAATTGAGAGCGTGAAGTTCCACGAATTTAAAGAGCACATAAGGACATGAAACTCCTCGATTTTGTATTAATCAAAATCAAAATTCCATGAAGCATACATATGTTAAGAACCCGAACCAGAAGTTTCGCATGCATATAGATAGATTTGAGTATGAAGTTCAAAGCACAACTATTAATTCAATTTATTTAGATCTACGTATTCAAACCTGAAGTTTCGAATATATATTGATATGAACCTGAAGTTCATAGTTTTTCATGGATCTTAGTACTATATATGAACCTGAAGTTTATTACTTATTTGTGCCTATATGAACCTGAATTGGTTGAAAATCCAATTCTTAAACTTGTAGTTTTATCTACATATTGAATCCACATTAATATTGGATTATCTTGGAATTTCATAGTCTTTAATTTATTTATTTAATTCCTCGTTTATACCACTTTACTCATTTTATTTTATTTTTTATTTATGTTGGGTTATTAGTTAATTTCATTTTACAATGGTAATGCTTTGTATTACCGCCCCAATTTTGACAGCTAGAGACGTCTATTGGAGAAACTTCCTATTTTCTTTTGTGGGTAGGAAGTTTATGATATCATGAACCAAAAGTTCATGAGGCCCTAATATTACACAACTATTAAAGTAGTTGAAGATTATGATATCATGAACCAGAAGTTCATTGACCAAATAACTTTTATGTTGTGGCATGATTATCTTGGCAATCCATGTTCTACAATGATACATAAGATTTTTATAAATTTGTAAGAACATCATTTAAATACTCAAAATATTGTCTTGTCCAACAAATATCATTACAAAGAATGCTCACAAATAAAAGCTGTCATAAGATCATCTCAGTCAAAAATTGACTTTGAGCCCTAATTCAAGGGGATATTTGTGAGCATATACAACATTTAATTATGAATCACTTCATCATTTTTACTAAATGTGCCTACTAAAATGGTCACATATTTGATAATGACTGTGAGTTTATTTTCCTAAATTTTGAGACAATTTTCCCGCCGTTAGAGGGAGAAATGACAATTCATGAAGAACGTCGTGAAATAGTGTTGAATCGGTCCGCTTTTGTCTCATCAAAATACTGCATATATAAAGTTATGAATATGCAAGCATGGATTGATATTCACGTATCACAATTCATTAACATGACAATAAGTGACTATAAGCATGACAAAAATATAGGTTCTAAAAACTTAACTCCCTATAAGTGGAGATTATTTGAAAAATCAAACCCTATAAAAAATAACGCTCTATATGAAGTTATGATCCACATATTCTAATTAATTCATCGTAAAAAAGATGTTTGTCCCATAAGTGACAACATCAGCCCCTGAAGAGGCATTGGTACCCAAAAGCAATGAGATGCTTATAAATTATGCATGCGCATGAGAATTGTGGGATTATGAATTGATGATACATTTGGTTTATTAGTAGCTACTACAATCATCAAGAGCTATGATTATATTAAATCGCCTTATGAATGTCGACAAGTTAAGTGATTGGCCAAAATGGAAATAGGCAATTCCATTTATCACTAAATATGAAGTGTGGGATATTGAACCTATAGCCCAAACACCAAATTACAAATGTTAAGTATGAAGGTTACGAATTGGTGTTTGTGAAGTAAAATAAAATCACTAATATGACATAAGGTTTCCTAGGAGAGACATGGTTTTAGTCTCTCATCTCATCGTAGATGCATCTACATTTGTATAAGTGCAGTTGTTATTTTAATACAAAACTTATAGCATGTGTTCAATGCATATTTATTAAGACTGTATGGTACATGGAGATCCTCAAAGCTCATGAAATATTTGAAATATATCAGATGAAGCGACCCCTTGAATGATATAAAGTAACACAATATTCTTAATTAAGAGTTAACACTAAAATTTTGAGTATTTTGAATTCAAATTTGATATTATTGTAACATATTCTAACTATTAAATTAGTTGTTAATGCTCCTAAGGATTTCAAACATTTGAAAAGTGAAAAGTAGGTCGAATAGTGTGACAGACGATCATGTATGAAGAAAATGTTGCTTGTCTTGCTCAAATCAGAGAATAGGAGATATTAATCAGGGGGAGTATCCCAATTCTACTATGTACATGACATATGCGCGTTGTACTATTTTTCCCTTCGACTAGGTTTTTGTCTCACTGGGTTTTTCCTAGCAAGGTTTTAACGAGTCAACATAAGCGCATCCAATACCATATCAATGATCTAGAAGAGAGTTTCACTCTTTTTCCCTTCGCTTTGGTTTTGTCCCACTGAGTTTTCCAAGGTTTTTAATGAAGGAACTATGTCATTGTATGGTGGACATCCAAGTGAGAGTGTTGTAAATGCATGAGTTTGTGGATGACCAATATACCTCTTAGTATTCCAACATTAGATATTATGTAACATATGCACTAAGTATTTGTAATTAGTGTGTGTAACCTATATGTATATTGTAAATGATGGTATTCAATCTCCTATCTTTAGCATATCACTTCTCTATACATTTTCTCTCTCTAGTTTTATAACAATATTAAAATAATTATTTTTAGTCCGGCACAACACCAAACATAAGTCTTCACTATTTTTACAATTCAACTTCTTAATCCGACGCAGTACCAAACGTAGGTCAGTACTTAATCCAGTTTAGGCCAATCCGAACTAATCCGAGACAGTCCCAGGATTTAATCCTGACCATGACAATCCGCCATGCTAAACGACCCCTAAGACCACTGGTTTTGATTATACCTCTAAGAACACTAGTTTGTTTGATCAGTCGAGTTTATTGTAGAAGATATTTAGATTTACAAGTTATTTCATGAAATGGAAAAGTGCTCCTCCATTTTCATGGTGGACAGTAAATTGGACAAATGGTAAGCAAATTCTTCTCTCTGGGTTTACTAAACTGCCGGGGAAAATATTGTAAAACTGAAGGAGAAACACTTCAATCAGCAGAAAAGTAGCCAGTGCTGTTTTAGATGACGGTTATGGACCTTTTGCTGCGATCCAAGACGGTTATGCGACTTTTAGTAACAAAATTTAGGTCCTCCTTCACAGCACTTTTTCCGTCGCTAGTCGTTGGCCTTATGGTCAGCTTTGGCAACGGTCTGTGAAAGTCTTTGCTAAAAGTTGAAAATTTTTACAAACGCAGCCTGAGCCGTTTGAACAATTGTTTTTTCTTTTACTAGACATAACCTAATTTCAGAAATATCCTCTTTAAATAGTACAAGAGCCTAATATCACCACCGTCAAGCTTATGAAACAAAAGTTGCTTTTGAAGATATGCGCACAAATAGAAAAGTTACAACACCATGTTAAACACAGACCAGATGCAAAGCCCAGATAGTCACAAATTATACACTCCATTAGCCATTCCCTTTATAATGGATTCAAGTCTACAAATCCTCTCTCTTTTTTTGCGGATTGCCACAGAACTAATCTGCAGCATCACTTTAGTCAATGTGCCAGTTTCTGCAGATGTCGAAGTGTCCGTTGTTTAATCCATTGTCGGTCATACGGCAGATAAGCTTGAATTGAGTGATCATAACTGCAAACCAAAACCAGAAAGAGGAGTGTTAGTGTCCTCCCAAGGCAACAGCCACCACAAACAAAACTTGATGGACCCAGATTTTATTAATTTCAATTTCACAATGGATCATGTTCGGTTCTTATCACTTTCCCATCCCAAATTAAACAGGCAGTCCAACTGGTGGGACTTTGATGGACGGATAAAGTAAAGTATAACGGCTGGCCTATGGTAACTCCTGTACAGCTATGTAGCCTGGTGACCGGAAAAAAAAAGTCCGTACTTTAAACTCAACTTCAACAACAAAAATATATATATATATATATATATATATAAAATAAGGTTAGGCACTCACAATATAAATAAATAAATTTGTACTATCCAGGAAATAATCATATGTGATCAACATTCACATTCAACAGATAGTCATCTGTGTAAACCTCATTTGTTTGATACAAAAGTTTAAATTATTTAAACCACCATATGTCGTGGTAGATGATCCAATTCTTCGAAAGACCAATCAATAAAATCCAATTCGACAACATAGCCAAATATACATATACTCTGTAATGATTTAACTTTTATATTACACCTTTTTTCTGTAGGTACATAGTAAACATTTCTAACTCAAAATTCAAAGATCATTGACATAAATCTACAAAAATTGTTCAGTGAGAAGGCTATACATATTTTGGTGCCTACATTGTGTGTGTGTGTGAGAGAGAGAGAGAGAGAGAGAGAGAGAGGCGTACACTAAAGCACTCATGTCAGCGAGGCCATCAATAAAGTTGTAGAGATCTCCAATATCGTATGAGATATTTCTAATTGCTGGATTTAACTCCCTCAGCTTCCTCTCATACAGTCCACATATACCTATACATGCACAACAGCATAACCTCTAGTCAATGCAAACAAAAAGATGATGGTTATAACAACATTATTTCTTGGGAGCCCTCCAACGCCTTTTAACCCAAAACAGATTACAAGTATCCAACTGTGAACCAGGAAGGCTTAAAAAACTCACAAGAAACATATAGATAAACAAAGAAACCTGTTTTCTCTCTCATATGAAGTGGAAGTTTTATTTGTCACATGAGTTACCATGTTTCATTGAGCACAAATACACTAATCATAAAACATGTAATATAGTAGTGTTCTCGCAACTTATAAATCCAAATACTAAATAAAATAATTATCTTAGACGGCTGCACAATCAATCATGATCAAAAGCACTCAACCAAACTGGAGAGACACCACTGAAGGGAAATTTATTCAGGTGCCCCTATGTGAGTTCTATTGCAAATCACTGGATCGTCCATAGGGAGTTGGGAAAAGGTTGACATTCATATCTCTAGTGACATACTAATCTTTCATTTCTTTACACCGTACAGGTCTACAGTTCTCACATGGCCAAGCAATTACCCCAAATACTTCCTACTGATTAATTATCAAATCTTTCAGTTTTCATGAAAAAATTTAGTTATTCAACCTATGAGGTGAAAGTAAATGAATCATTTTCTGTTACTAGATAAAATCACCTATGCCCTTTCTTCAGTTTATTTTGAGAAATTAGCAGCTCACAAGCATTTTTTATTATGTAAGAATTCATTTTATAGCACGATGAAGCATTCATATTCCCTTTAGCTTTAGGTAAATACACTCTAAAGCCAAAAGATTTGAATGATGGTAATTTGAATGATGGTAATAATGATAGTTTAATAACAACAAAACTTATCCAAAAAAAGACTGTAACCACGACAAAAATCATAAATAAAACATACCATCCATTGCTTGACTTATTGAATCATAGTCCATAAAGGTTCTAGTTGCTTTGTTCTGAGAAGTTTGCATTAGAATGATGGTGTGCTTGTTAGCCTACACATGATGATAAAATTACAATGTAGTCAACATTCCAACAAGACGGGCACGTTTCTGGCAAGAGTAACTTACAATGAAACACGAAATGAACTGTTCACACCAATAATATCAAATCAAAATAAAGCGATACATAGTAAACATTTCTAACTCAAAATTCAAAGATCATTGACATAAATCTACAAAAATTGTTCAGTGAGAAGGCTATACATATTTTGGTGCCTACATTGTGTGTGTGTGTGAGAGAGAGAGAGAGAGAGAGAGAGAGAGGCGTACACTAAAGCACTCATGTCAGCGAGGCCATCAATAAAGTTGTAGAGATCTCCAATATCGTATGAGATATTTCTAATTGCTGGATTTAACTCCCTCAGCTTCCTCTCATACAGTCCACATATACCTATACATGCACAACAGCATAACCTCTAGTCAATGCAAACAAAAAGATGATGGTTATAACAACATTATTTCTTGGGAGCCCTCCAACGCCTTTTAACCCAAAACAGATTACAAGTATCCAACTGTGAACCAGGAAGGCTTAAAAAACTCACAAGAAACATATAGATAAACAAAGAAACCTGTTTTCTCTCTCATATGAAGTGGAAGTTTTATTTGTCACATGAGTTACCATGTTTCATTGAGCACAAATACACTAATCATAAAACATGTAATATAGTAGTGTTCTCGCAACTTATAAATCCAAATACTAAATAAAATAATTATCTTAGACGGCTGCACAATCAATCATGATCAAAAGCACTCAACCAAACTGGAGAGACACCACTGAAGGGAAATTTATTCAGGTGCCCCTATGTGAGTTCTATTGCAAATCACTGGATCGTCCATAGGGAGTTGGGAAAAGGTTGACATTCATATCTCTAGTGACATACTAATCTTTCATTTCTTTACACCGTACAGGTCTACAGTTCTCACATGGCCAAGCAATTACCCCAAATACTTCCTACTGATTAATTATCAAATCTTTCAGTTTTCATGAAAAAATTTAGTTATTCAACCTATGAGGTGAAAGTAAATGAATCATTTTCTGTTACTAGATAAAATCACCTATGCCCTTTCTTCAGTTTATTTTGAGAAATTAGCAGCTCACAAGCATTTTTTATTATGTAAGAATTCATTTTATAGCACGATGAAGCATTCATATTCCCTTTAGCTTTAGGTAAATACACTCTAAAGCCAAAAGATTTGAATGATGGTAATTTGAATGATGGTAATAATGATAGTTTAATAACAACAAAACTTATCCAAAAAAAGACTGTAACCACGACAAAAATCATAAATAAAACATACCATCCATTGCTTGACTTATTGAATCATAGTCCATAAAGGTTCTAGTTGCTTTGTTCTGAGAAGTTTGCATTAGAATGATGGTGTGCTTGTTAGCCTACACATGATGATAAAATTACAATGTAGTCAACATTCCAACAAGACGGGCACGTTTCTGGCAAGAGTAACTTACAATGAAACACGAAATGAACTGTTCACACCAATAATATCAAATCAAAATAAAGCGAAGCATTATATATATATATATATATATATATATAGTTATTATATTGTAAAGCTTGACAACAAAATTCAAAAGAAAAATTCATATTTACTTCTCATGGTCTCCGACATTCATATTCTAAAATATAACTTCGAAAAAACCACAAATTAGAACCCTAGCTGTCTGTTTGGTTCCCTAGTAAACGAAGAAAAAAATCGAAATAGAGAAGAAAAAAATCGAATTTTAAACCTAACAGGCTCTGGTACTTCAATATTCTCAAACACAGTAGAATGATAACCTCGATTAAGATTATCCAGAGACTTCTAGATTCTCTGATTCAGGCTGAAAAGTCTAATTTATATAATTTTAGCCACAAATTTTATAGGAAGGCCAGAGAGCATTATATTGGTGGTTTAGGGAAAAACTGAAAGAAAAGAGACAGAGAATATGACAAAGAACAAAAACCCTAATTTGGCAAACAGGAAGGCTTTGATTTAGGAACGAAACCACATGCTTGCAAAGAATAGTAGGAATTACAGAGAGAAAAGTGAGATTCGTATCTTTACATATAGAAAATAAATCAATGAAAGGAAAATAAACTAGATTACCATGTGAGAGCTGACAGTGATGAACCAGAAGCTCGCAATAATGTTATGGCTTCGTAGGAACGACGCGACCACCGGAGGGAAGGAGGAAGAGAGAGAGAGTTGAAGACGACTTGAGCAGGGCCACTGTGGCCCACTAGGTTAGAGCCTCGTCAGAATTGAGGGCATAATAGACAATTAAGATCTGGTTTCTGTAGTCTTTAGATGGAGAATTGACCGTTAGATTTGTATACTTCCTCTCGCGTTATAGTAGAAACTGAAAAATGGGGGAAAGAAGGAAAAAGCGAAATACTTTTTTGGGGATTGCCGACCACAAACAATTAAAAATGAAACGAAGACAGACTTTGGGCTGGACAGGTAAACGCAAGTCAAATTTTTTTTTTTGGGTTCGAAAAACTCAAGTCAATCAGAAAACAAGGATTTTATGGTGGCGAAATTTTATAGCGAGGGCTTATACATGGTCTTTAGGTGAGATTTTTTCTCTTTTAATCATTAAATTGGGTTAACTAATTTTATCCGACGACTAACTAATTTAATCCAATAATTAAAAGATATGGATTCACTTAATAGTTATATATTAGGCCTCATTATAAAATGACTCGATCAGATAAATGGGGATTGTGGATTGGTTGGTCCAATTCTTTCCCAACAGCCCTTGTGGCAAGCAAAGGACCGTTTTGGTATTTACCGGTGGGTGTTAAAGGAATTCTAAAATTAATTGATTATAACAGCTGAGCACCTTGTTTAAATTTCACTAAATCAATATTTGAGTGCCTCTTTTTATTTTTGTTGTAGGGGGAGAATTCAAACTGATCGCCTCTTTTAAATATCACTAAATCAAGAGCTAATTGGTGGATATATCATGTATATTTGTTATATGATATTGGTTTCAATTACCATAATAACCTTTGTCTAAATAATAAAGCATGCTCTCCCTAAAGCAATTTTACTGTGTAAACATCTTTAAGATTTTGTACAATACAATGTATGTGGCTAAATTCTTTACATCTGAACCTATAAAAAAATGAGCGCCTAAACTTCAATTTTCTCCTTCATTGGAACCAGTTCCAAGCTCTCATCATCTACAGCACTAACAGCATAGTTTTTGGTCAAAAGATCAGAAGGAATCAACACATCAAATTGATCAGCCTTGGGAACCAAAAATATCAAAGCAAGTGTTGAAAACCTCAACACATTCCTAATGAGAATGGCCAGCCATAAGTTTGTAAAATCTGTCCTTGTTACATTCAAGGCATGAAGAACCACCCCTCCACCCCATTTAGAGGACAGTGAGCCAAGGCTGTCAATGCACATCAACAGAGCAAAAAATGTGCCTTCAATGCCTAGAGGGCAAAGCCTTGTGCTCAATACGATCATGGGCATCCATCGAATTCTGCTAACGATTCGAGAAATGCATTCTTCCATGATGACGAAGAAGTAGTCGGGAATGCCCAGAATTAAGTTCCACCTTAGGATGAATGTGAGATCAAGCATGCCTGATATGGCGTAGAGAAGTTGAGCAAAGAAGAGTAGGTTTCTAAAGGGGTAGTCTTTTAGAGTCTTGTGGTAGATCAGAACCCCTACTATTGAAGCCATTGCACCAACTGCATATATCATCCCAACAAACTCCTGCCCATGGATAAAGCCAATTAGTCTATGTGAAAGACATATTGTCCTTGTATTAATAACATGCTGGTACGTTTTGTTATTCACGTGTCATGTTCTCTAACAAATAATATGTAAAGAGTGGGAAAGCTAGAGAGGGACCTGAGAGAAAGCAGGACCAGCTGTTGGGTCAGTGTACCAATAAAACTGGCCTTCATGAGTGCTAATGCTGAGAGTCAAAGATAGGTACATATAAAGGGAAGGCTTCCACACCTGAGGACATCTGATTGTTTTGTACATGCCCCTTATTGCCACTCCTACTTCTTCTACTACCTGGACATGCACACATTTGTATTTAAACATATATAGATATTGTATGTGGAAATATTACTGGGGAGTTTTCATATATATACAGATATATATTTCCCTTAAAATATATTGACCCAACTCTGGTTGGTTGGTGAGAATCAATGGGGTCCTACAGGGGCTAAACTCATGCCACTGTATTTTGTAAATCAAAAGGCTAGTATTTAATTAATATATGAAAGAGCTAGGTCACCTTAGTTTAATGGTGACTATATATTAGGGGCGTGGTTCATAAAATATATATATGAACCATCAGGTGAGACCTTAGAGGAGTTTGTCGCAGGAAAAGATTGATAATGACAGAATGAGTTTTTATTTTGTTTTGTTTTATCCCAGGACCACTGGTTTTGCTGAAAGAGATAATAAAATAAAGCATAAAAGAGAAATGTGGAAAATTTATGGTTAAAAAAATGTGTAAATTTTCTAACCTTTCTTTTCTCAGAACGAAGGCTGGTTGATCCTTCTTCATATATAACAAAGCCCAGTACAGTCAGAAAGACTGGTGGGATTGCCAAAAGACCCAATGCACCCTACAACAACAATGTGCAGCTTTCAATTCTTAGAATCCTTCATCCAAAATAAATTAAAACCCAAGATATAAAAATACTGAACAAATGGGGTCATAAGAAGATAAGACAGCACAATTCTGTTCCTTTTAATTAGTTTATACTCTCTGCCTTTTACTTTATATATAGATGTCATAGATCCGTCCAGAATTTCTGGGAAAAATATTGCACGAATCTTTATTGGGAAGTTCCAGATAAATATAACATAAAAATATGCCAACCATATGCACGAACCCATATAAGATATACAGTCAATTTGCATAATAAACTATACTGCACATATATCTGTAACACTAAATAAATACTATAATCTATATCAGGTTTTTTTTTTTTTAAAGGTACCTGAGCACCAAGATGGTGAACAAAAAACCCACTTGTAGAGTACCCAACCAAAGCTCCGGCAGATGAGCAGAACCCACAAAGGCTCTGCAAATCCGAGGCCAACGATCGGATCTCAATGCTATTCCTTGCAATACAAGCATCAATCGTCACGTCCGCAATCGCTACACTCGCCATGACACCAATCAAACAAGTCAAAGCCACAGCAGCAGCCAAGCTGTCACTTAGTGCAACCATGAGAGCTGAAATGATCCCTGTAAGTCCTGCTAGCACAAAATAGGGTCGTCTTCTATAGCCTTGAACTGGAAAAACGTCAGTCAATAAGCCCCAAATGGGCTTCATGATCCATGGGATGTAGTACAAGCCTATGTAGAGCTGCACAACTGAGGGTTGGACTTTCTGGACATCTTTCCAGTAGAAGTCTGCGACCACTCTGAAATAAGAGCCTGAAAATCCTTGGCTGAGGCCATAGACGGTGACCACACCCAAGACAAAAGTTGGGTTGAGTTCTGAAGAGAGCATTTGGAGCCATTGGAAGGGTTGCTGGATCATTTGAGCAAATGGGTTCGTGGGGTTTGAATGGCGATGATGATGATCATCATCTTTTTGGTCTGAAGTAGCTTGATCAATGATATTGGTTTCTTGAGAGGGATCCATGGAGAGCATGGATCTGGGGAAGTAAAGGAGGTAAAAGATTTGGAGGCTCAAAGAAGAAAAAGTATAGGAGGGTCAGTTCCATCTTTGTGTATTTTTAATGGTTTGTTAATTGATGACAGTTCATGAAGTATTAAAGAAAACGCAGGGCTGGAACTTGGATGGATTAATTCAATATAATATGTCTTAAGAATACAAGTCGGACTTTGTCAGTAAATGCAACTTAATGCTAAAATCTTCAGAGGCAATATTATATGAATAAACAGGAGCTCAAAGACAACAGCATCTGCAAGCAAAGTACTTCAAACTAGTATAAAGACAGAAGCCAATATGTTCACATATAGTTAAATTGTTCATCTTTCAATGAACATTTTGCAACAAATGCACCATAAGTAAGGATAGTTTTAACTCGTACCAAAAAACTTGGGCTAAAAATTTGGCGTGAGAGAATAGGTTGACGGATTAAAAATTAGAATTTTATCACATTTCAAACCATTTTAGCCAATTAGAATATAGGCTGAAATTGAATGGTGAGACAAATTGACAAAATATGGCTGCGAGACATGACTAGATTTGTATCAATGCAAATTATGATAAATATGAAAAAGAACAACTGAAACCAACAAGGAGTGCGTCCATTAACCCCCAAAACAAGAAAATAAAACTCTACTGATAAGACAGATATGTAAAAGCTATTAACTAAAACGCCATATACAGGGATTTCTACGCATGCTCCTCCATCCTCCCTTAACTGGGTGCTGCCGTGCATGTTGTGTAGCTCTTCTCCTCAAGCTGCCACCAGTTTCTGGATATCCCTCTGAAAAAAATTGTATAGACAAAGAATCAGACCAACAAAACAGCAAGACTGAGAACAGTTACTTCTACAGTTACTCACATGACAGGATGGAGCTGGTAAAGAGGAAATACTCTTATATTTTCGGTTCAGATTATGATGCTCAAGTTGCAATGCTATTTCAACTCAGAGACACATTAAGCAGAAAATGCACACGTCATTTCGATAGCTAATATTAAGTTTCAGAGCTGATTCAATCTTTTTGTTTGTTGCCTTTATAGCTATGTTACTAAACTAACCTCTTTGTTTTGGTATGAATGAATTTTTTTTTCAATCCAAAGAAAGCTGCAACAGCAGCACAGACTGCAAACTAAAAAGTTACAAGCAGCAAACTCAGCAAACAGGCTCAAAGAAACAACTACAAGAGAGTATCTCAGGAGATTTATAGGAACATTCCAATTAGCATCAGTGGTTAAACAAAACTATTAGCCTTTAACTTCGAATAGGCTTCATATTTTATCAAAACAAAAATGGAGCAGTTATTGGAAAGGGGAATTTTAAAACTATTTCACTTCATAAAAATAAGAGCATTAACTTTAGTCTTACTTGACCACCAAATCATCAAAAAGAGGGAGAATGGAAGTGAGAGTGAGAGTGGAGATGGGATTGGGAGGGAAGATGAGAGGAGAGGATGGGAGGGAGAAGTAACAAAAGTGAAAACAAAAACTAAAAACTGAAATCTATTTCAATTTCAATTTGTTTTCATTTTCAAGATTTTGTTTTCATTTCGTTACTCCTCCCTCTCATCCTCTCTCTCAATCTCATCCTCACTCCCATTCTCACTC